CTGATCAACAGGCCACATCACTAATGTCAGTACTCAGCAGGCCAGCATTAAAATACATGTTCGAGAAAAACTAGCAATATTCACAAGGCATAATTTCTCACACAACTAACAAATCTGCTAGAGTCACATCATCTGGCAAACAGTATTTCTCTGCATTAATCACAGGATGCTATGAGGTGATACAGTTTTTGACATCCAGGAAGTTTCCCTTACATGGTGAAGTCTGGGGTTAGAAAGGTTCTCAACCCTGCACTATTGGCATTTGGATTGGATGAATCTCTCCTGTGGAGGATTGAAGTCATGCATTGCAGAATGTTTAGGGATTTCTACCTAGTAAAAGGCAGTGAAACCTCCTGGTCCTCATCCTTTTGCAGTAATGACATCAGAAATGTCTCTACACATACCAACCTTCCTTGGCTGTGCAGTGGCCTCTGCCCACTGAGCATCAACAATCAAGACCCTGTGTTTCTATGAACTAATCTAGTTATTATGTGGTTTTGCTAACATTTTCATGGTAGAGTCAAGTATTCACACACACTAATCATTCCTATATCAGGAATTAGATATGTAGGTAATTTATAAAAAAGATATGAATAATAAGAAAATAACCTCACAAATGAATAGAAGGGGAAAAATATAATCCTGATATTTAGAACAAAAGTAAGATTAATACTTGGGCAAAGATACAACAAGAAGAATTCCACAAGAAATGTGTGATTTGAGGTAAGCTATAAGAACTTTGTACCAGGATGCTCATCAAAGTGCTATCTGAAACAATCAAAAATATGTATGCAGAATAATTGACAATGGAAGATAAAGAATTCATTATGCTATCCACAGAGACTATTCAGTGATCAAAATGGAATGTTATAAAACCATGAAGGGAATGGAAAAGCATTTGGAATATAATGATGTAATCATGTAAAAATATAACTAACTATGTTACCTATGCAGCATGGACAGCCTTGTGTGAAAATAGAACTGTTAACCTATGCAGTGTGGATAGCAAGTTTCCAAATGATAAGTAGGCAAAGAAAATAGATTATAAAAATATTAACAATGGCTATGGGATTGTGATATAATTATTTGTAACTTTAATAACAATCCTTATATTTTTATGCTTCCAAAATGTTCTTCATGAGCTGTTGAGCTTTTCCCACCCCTGTGGTATGGGGTGTTAATTCTAGAGTAGCATTTCTCAACCTGTGGGTCACAACCCCCTGGGGGGGGGCAAATAATTTTCTCACAGGGTCACCTACGACCATTGGAAAACACAGACATTCATATTATGATCCGTAAGAGTAGCAAAATTACAGTTATAAAATAGCATTAAAAATAATTTTATGGTTGGAGAGACACCAGAACATGAGGACCTATGTTAAACTGTTGTAGTGTTAGGGAGGTTGGACTGCTTTAGAGAATGACTCATACTGGCCCGGGTATGCTGAGAAAGGCTTTCACAGGTCCATGGGAGAGCACATTATGAAGGATGCTTCGGAGAAGCACATGAAGGAAGGTGATAGTATTTGTAGTCCTCTTCGGGAAAAATTCTGTGTAGTTGGTATTTTTACTCTTTGGGCCCCACCACCCAGCTCCCAAATAAACACACGAAGACACAGTCTTACTTGTGAATGACCAGCATTAGCTTTGCTTGTTTCTAGCCAGCTTTTCTAACTTAAGTTATCCCATTTCTCTTTAACTACATTTATTCTTTTATACTTTTTTTTTTTTACATTTATACGTTATATATCTTTCTTTCCTTATTACTCTGTTGCCGGCTCTGTAGCTGGGTGGCTGGCCCCTGGCATTCTCCTTTCCTTTTCTCTCTCCTTATGCCGGTCCCTAGATTTTCCTCCTATTTATTCTCTCTGGCTGCCAGCCCCACCCATTTTTCTCTCCTGCCTAGCCATTAACCGACCATTCAGCTCTTTATGAGACCAAAGCACACAGCTTTACAGTGTTAAACAAATGCAACACATCTTTGCAGCATTAAACAAATATTCCACAGCATAAGTGAATGCAACATGTTTTAAACTAATATTCCACAACTATCCTATGTATCATTTTTTCATAAAATAAGAAAGCCTGATGTCTCAGCTGCATCCTATTCCTCCAAGCCAGTGTTTCATGGATTTCAAAAAGCTGAGGACTACTGAGAACTCAAGAACAATGGCAATGGGTTTTTGATCCTACTGCACGTACTGGCTTTGTGGGAGCCTAGGCAGTTTGGATGCTCACCTTACTAGACCTGGATGGAGGTGGGTGGTCCTTGGACTTCCCACAGGTCAGGGAACCCTGATTGCTCTTTGAGCTGATGAGGGAGGGGGACTTGATCGGGGGAGGGGGAGGGAAATGGGAGGCAGTGGCGGGGAGGAGGCAGAAATCTTTAATAAATAAATAAATTAAATAAAAAAAAATAAAAAAATACTAATGAAAAGCCACTAAAAAAAAAAAAGCTGAGGAGTCACTTCAGATTTATCTATCAAGTAAACAACGATTTCTGGACTGCAACTCTCCAGATTTGGATTCTCCAGTGTTGGGTGGGGCTCAGGGATAGTTATCTTTACCAATCTCTTTTAGCAATTCATTTAGACACAGGTGGTCTAGAGACCATGTTTTATGGTTTAGTTTACATTCTTTTTTTTTCCACCTCCATTTTTGGTAATTTCTTCTTGGTTGTGCAAAGAAGGAAGTTGATTTAGACTTTTATTGGTGTATTGGTAATGTGGCTTCTCCAAAATAAATCCACTTTTAAAAGCATTTTCTTATAGCTGTCTATCCATTTCAAAGAGCCAATGGCCAAAACAGTTCAAAAAATTCTTGAGGTTTAAAAAAACTGATTCTGATAATTGGTTACCCCCAATGCTAACAGTATGTACTTTATTTAAGGGCTTTAAACACTTTGAAAAGGGTTAATGGAAAACTATTACCCTGGAGAACTATGACAGAATTAGTAAGCAATAAGATAACTCGACTCATTTCAAAGATACAGATATTGATTATATTGAAGAAAAGGACGATAAAAGCATTTATCATTATTTTCTATTTTCATCTTTTCTCCATAGCAACTATCCACAAAGAGTATCACACTTGCTGAGATCTGTAGAGCCATAAACTGGTTTCCTATAGATGATGGACAGCCAAGGAGCAGCACTGCGGGGCTGTGAGCAACGCCACATGCTCAGCCTTGACCACCATGCTCCATGCTCCTCTTGGTCCCCCATGGTCCTCAACCACTGAGTGTTGAAACTCCTTGGTCACTGATTTCACAGCACCCAACCCTAAAATCAGCTCCTTCAACTTCCTTGATGCCCTCCTGAGGCCATGTTGTCGGTAGGAAACCTGCACTGGATCTATTTGATGGCTCCTTGTGTGGGAGGTGACTTAGGTGCAGGCTAATAGTACACTTCTTTCAATATTTTCACCAGACATATTTTAAGAATATTGGTCCTGAAGCCCCTACACTCAGCAGAGGCAAATTTACGGCTTTGCTTCTAAGAACAAAACTCCCTCAGGCACCTGCGTCCAAAGGCAAAACTAGAAAGGAAATGAACTCCTGCTTAAAGACAGCTCACCTTATTTTATGAGTTATCAATTTTCTAGCTGGCACGCAGTCCACCCGCCACTGGGAGATTTTTACCCCCATTTCAAGCAAGCACTAAACTGCAAAAAATGCCCAGACTGCATTCTAGCAAACAATTCCGATTCCCGAAGATGAGGCGTGGGACACAGTCTCAGTAAATGAAGTCGGGGGTGGGGGGCAGAAAGACCTATGATGCAGGCCCCCAGTGCACATGTCTCTGCAATGCTGCATTAAGTCTGTCCCCGAATTCCATTCCAGTCCAGGATGACTGACGCCTGGGCTCTGATGGGGCACTTTTCCTTTTTTTAGGGGAGCTCTGCCAGGTGACTGGTCAACTACAATGCAGAGCACTTGATTTCCTTTTAACTGCTCTGGTGACCCTGGAGCCAGGGCTTATCAGCTTCTCAAAAATGAGAGAGGACTAAATAGCTTCTCCCCCGCCTCCTTATTGGTAAAGTCAGTCTTCTCAATGGAAATTGACTGCAAGATAGGGTTAAAGGTTAACAGGATATACTTCAGACTATGGTGTGTGAGAAAACACAGTGAATAGATGTGGTTCTCTTAGTGCGTCCACTATGGAGACAAAATATAAGAATGGACTCTTAAAAACCATGAGGATAATCTTAGCTAATAAGCCAGTGAAAAACTGGATACATTTGACTTCCCCTGAGTAATCACAAATATGTACGATTAGATCCAGCTCTGCCTTATCTTAGTATTTTTTTCCTAGCTTTATTTTGTTTGGAAGGCAGAGAATAGCAAAACTATATGAATATTCAATTGCATGTTGTAAAGTCAGATGTTTACACAACTACTTGGGAGAAGTGCCAGAATTAACTTCAAAGATGAGTGAAGGACCTCTTGTCCAACAAACACGACCCTCTTCAAGTACGAGAATTCGGCCCTCGCAAACTGCCATTACTGCTGGATATGAAACCGGCCCTTTAACAGATGGGCAGTGCGCTTTTCAGCCTGCTGATAGCCTAGTAAAAGACAGTAGCTTTTGAAAAATGGAGGACTTCTCAAATTACATGACCTAAAAGGAGTTAGCAGAATATAATTAAGAAAGGCATACAGCAGACTGTCAAAAAACGAGGAACAGACTAGGGGAACGTGAGAGCTCTAAACATCAATATCAAAATGACCTTTGGATTAGCAGGGAGAAAAATCACTCTTTAAGCCATGAGAAAACAAGCACCGATGGAGTCAGAATGGGAGCAGCACAGTGTGGGACTATAGGTACTGATAAAACGAAAACACAGCCGGATTTCTTCTTATGAATGTGATAAAGATTCCCTGGGTGGTGGCTCTTCCAGGAAGGCACAGCCCTCTGCTATGCTCTTGTTGGTTCCTGGGAGTTACTGACTCAAACACAGGTTCTGTAGGAGACAAAGGGAGGGCTCGATCATCTGCTCACCTTCCCGTCTCCTCTTTCATTTTTTCCAGCTCTTCTTCTCCCAGGTTCCCGGGCTTCTGGGTACCTTTCTGTTCCACCTTTCCACCCTTATCATCTTTCTTCTTTCCAAATCTGGAGGGAAAGAACAAAGTTAGTAACTCACACTTTTTCCTTGGCAAATGTAAGGTGTGTATGACATGAGTTCATGCAGCTGTAATTCTTTATTCTAAATAGCACAGCAACAGTAGGCATGAAACTGAAGTAAAATCAGATTACAGAAGCAGGAAAATAACACAGTTACTGTTTTTTCTTTTTTCTCTCCTCTCTTTCCTTCTTTTCACTGACATATTTTGTATCAAGCATAGCATTATGTCATTAGAGGTGAACAATTCTGACTACTAATTCAATGAAGAATTAAAACACAGAATGATTACCATTCATTTGTAACTAAAAACTGAACAGTTTTCTAATGAGGCCCTCCAGAACTTCAGTCCATTGCCATTTTAAGGTAAAATACATGAGATTATATAATTACAGGTAACAAGGGAACTTACTGAATATTCAGTTAAATGCTTTCCTATTATCAAGGAAGACTGAAAAGCCCTGGGGGAAACAGGAGGGAGTGTTTCTGAAGTGGATACACACTTCTCATTGGTTCTGTCCAGGCCTGGGATTAGAACTTGCCTACACTGTGTGCTCTTCTCTGTCTTCCAGGTCACAGTTACTCTACAACAGTGCCCCCGGTTCCCAAGTTGCTCTAGGTAATGTGATTAGCATAAATGTCACATCAGTAGCTACATGCACAAAAGCGGCAACGGTAGTGCATTACAAGAACATCGCGTTTCCTCAGCGTGTGTAGGACAATCTGAAATGAAAGGTGGCGATGGCTGAAATACAAGCAGGCCCTACCCATCATGCGACAGTCACCATGGATGAAGTGATGAGGAGAAAAGCACTTCATGATGCACGTTCGGCAGTGTAGGCAGATTCTCCTTAAATCTTTTTACCTTTAAATATCTAGTCCTTTTTTTTATTACATAGCGAATTTTAACTATGTGTGTTAGCGCCAATATATTATCTGATTGTCTGTTTGTCCATCTGTTCATCCATCCTTCCATCCATGCATCCTTTCACCCATCCATCAACCATCCATCCACTTACCTACCTATTTGAAAGCTGGGTGTGCTTCCAAACCAGCTGTGCTTAAGCTAGCCTTCTTCCCCTTCATTGTGACAGAAACTAGAATCTCTTTATGTGAAGATGTGTTATAAGATTTGAAGATGGTCTTATCCATCTCCAACTAGAATCACAATTTAAAAATAAATCACAGAATGATCTCTTGTGTATATGTCCTTTGAAGTTCCTCTTTGGGTTGTGTTTCTGGTTCATGGAAGCAGTGCTAACAAACGGCCACTCTGAGCATCACACCCAGGAGGCTCAAGGCTCAGAAAAGCCAGCTGTTAGCATGACACAGACCGCAGAAAGGCTTCCCAGTCTTGACTTCTCTTCAACCTACAGTTTCAGTTAACACGTCTTTTCTCGCAACCCCCCCCCCCCCACTCTTATCTACTACGACAATGTGCTTGCTGAGCTCAGTCTTCCTGGGACATTGGTCAACTGTCGCCCTTAGCTTAAGGTCCTGTGTCCGTATATACATCCTACCAACCAGCAGCCATGATCTTAGCAAAAACTGTCTCCCCTAGAAGATGACAACTGTCCATGGGTTCAGCCCTCACTTAGGGGTGAGGGCTCACACACCCCTTTTCCCTTTCTACTAGAATACCGATTGTCTTGATCTTACTCAGGTCTTTCTTACTCAGGCAAGCACAACTGCTGGGCATTCATGAGCTCAGGGGTCGTGCCTGACCACAAGATGCTGTCTTGCTCCAGTCCTCCTCACCCCTGTGGCTCTTAAGATCTTTCTGCTCCCTCTTCTATGACGTCCCGTTTGTGGCCACACGCTCTGCTCATGCCCACGCTCTGCAATTTCATTCTTCCTCCGTCTTTCTATTCTGCCTCCACTTCTGGAACAATTCCTGCTCGTCACTGAAGATATGACCTGCTATCATTTATAGAAGCAGCTAGGAAACCAATAAAAAATGCAGACGAAAATAGAAGAACATCAACTTTTAAATATTATTCAGATTTGCTGATATATTCAAGACCTCACTATAACCTACAGTGCAGGAGATATCTAAATAAAATTTCCATGAATATATTCTGTAGCTTTCTACACTGTACTCAGAAGCAGCTTAGAGATCATTCTTATTCTAAATACATTCACAGGAGAAGTTAGCACCTTCGTTCATCACTTAGATAAAGAATTCTTCTCCCAAGATGCCATTGAATATAACAACATTTGGACAGAAAATTCAAAACATTGGCGGGCCAGGGTAGGAAAGATGCCTTGGAAATTGATGGGAACTCAGCATTGCCAAACCACAAGCTTGCTCCCCTCCTCCATATCCTGCATTTTATTAAAAATTTGGAGGCTTTGGATTTTTCAGACATAAAAGTAGCCTTATGTTTGAAGGTTAAAAGTAACCTAGACCCTGTTTGCCTTCACGGTTCTCACCACACCCCAGGCATAGTTTTCCTTTGGTATCTAAACTATTTCACCTGAGTTGCAGTTCAAAAGTAGCTTGCTTGGCTCTTAGTTTTAACTCCTGCAAAGTATTTTCTTTTTATCAAGAACTTTTCATTAAATCAGCCAGTTCCACTGCGATTATAAATATTTCATTTAAAATCCATTCTCTTTAAGTTTTCAACCCAATAAGAATGGCAGACATAGCTGCAAAACTTCTCTTGCTAGAGTGAAGTTTACAGATCACACTGTTTCAGAGAGTCTGGGGGGTTGAGAACAGAATTGGGGTGTAATGGTCATGGAGAGGGCCTTGCTTTGTTACAGTGACCCCAACCCCATGGAAGTGAGCTGTATTTTATCGACGATCACATTGGCTTCTCTCCCCAGCTTTGCAGTTAGACTTCTTCATCTTCAGTGGCAGAGGGAAGGGCAGGGCTTGAGTGGTGGGGAGGGAAGCATCTGTTTGCTATTTCCTTTCCTTAGCGTCCCTCTGGGAAGTCATTCCACAGCATCCTTACTTACCCAAGACCCAGAAAGGAGAGTCTGGGATGTTCATCTCCCCATTAACCACTCGTGTGAGAAAAGTCATGAGGCCCTTGGCTGGCTGTGACCATTGCTTTGCATGCGAGAGGTTTGGGACGGCCTTCACATTCCAGGCTGCTCTGTTTGTTCTCTGAGAAATGTGAGGGCTGGCGACTCTGGGCCAGGTGCCTTAAGGAAACTACTGAGTTAGCCTGGCTTTAAGATACTGTGCTGAGAAGTCATGAGCATACATATGGTTCCATCAATAACATGTTATTTTACATGCACCTAGGTAGTCTGCGTACAGAATCCCATGATGGATCTTTTTGTAAAATGGAAAAATCACCTTTCAACATATTCTTTGTGCAAGTTTACATTTTCACAAATACGTTTGCTTAAAACACCAGACCCTGTTCATTTCCACAGCGGTTACTTGAAACACCTTTGTGGGAAACTTCTGTCCCTCCTTTTGTTCCTTTCTTCTTCCCCCTCTTCCTTCCTTTATTCTTTCTCCTCTTTCTACCTTCCTGCGTTCCACTTATTCTTTACGAAGAATTTTTCAGCACCCACTGTGTGTCAGACATTATAATTAACATGGGGTTTACATTCTCAGGGAGAAGACGGTCATCAGCAAGCACAACTGCATGGTAGCAAACTGTGAAAGTTGTTAGGAAGGATGATGACAGGGACTTCAGCAACTAAAACATGTCTAGGTGCAGAGATGATGCATACCTGAAAATGGACAAAGACAAGGGTCCCCAAAGGGAGTGACACTATTAGCAGGTGTGGTCTTGTTGGAGTAGGTGTAGTCTTGTTGGAGGAAGTGTGTCACTGTGAAAGCAGGCTTTGAGGTCTCATATATGCTCAATATATGGACATCTCATATCCAATATTTTAGATCACGTCCTGTTGTCTAAGAGTCGACTCTCAGCTATGTTCTCATGTCTACTTGCACGCTGCCTTGTTTCCTTCCATGACAATAATGAACTGAACTTCCGAACTGTAAGCAAGCCACCAAAATTAAATATTTTCTTTCATAAATTTGCCATGGTCATGTCTCTTCCCAGCAGCAGGAACCCTAACTAAGACAGTGTATTCAGGAGGTCTAGCAGGTGAATCGGTGGGAGGTTTTGTCTGTGGTGGAAGCAGCAGCACACATACAGATGATGAGCTGGAGATGGCATGTTTTCCAGTCAGTAAAAAGGTTGACTGAAGTGAGGGGCACTTTCATGAGATGTGGGTAGAAAAGCAAGGGCTGAAAGTCTGAGAGGAGCCTGGAGTGGAGCATTAGAGCCAGGGAAGGGTGTTCGTTAGTAACAATGGGGACAGTCACTAGTGAGAAAAGTGGTGGACTGAGAGAGGTGGTGAAGGGAAAACAGGAGTAACTGTATTCTTTTGAGCAGAGGTGACCGTGGGAGAGGTATTTTCTAAAGATCACTGTGGCTGGAGAGCCAAAAAGCATCAAGAAAACAGCAAAACAGTAACAGGCTGCTTTGGGATGACTGTGGAGAGACAGGGAGGCCTGTGGCTTGGCTAGAGCAGTGGCCACTGAGAGAAGACAATTATGTGCTTGTTAGCCGGTGAAGAGGGAGTAAAGACCTGCATCTAAATGTGTAGGGTGTGCCGCATAGTGTGCATGCAGAAGTGGGAGGACAAGGTGTGGGAGCTGATTCTCTCTCCACCACAGAGGATCTTGGAATTAAACTCATGCCATCAGGCTTAGTGGCAAGCACTTTACTTGTTGAGCCGTACTGCTACCCTAAATATGATTTTGGAACACTTTCAAGAAACCTAAGCAAACAGTCCCAGTACTAGCCCCAGTACCACCTCTGCAAAACTCTTTCATCTAAAGGATTTACAGAGGAAGGAGACAGATGAAAGAATTAAAAGAAAAACCGATTGAAGGATGAATATCTGGAAAGTATGCTTGCAAAAGTATGTGAGACGACTGCAATGGGGTGAGTGTGGTGACAGATGGGAATGAGATCCAGCAGTCCAATGAGGAGGAGGCCGGCAAGTCTTCCCA